ATGTTCAAGAAGGTACTGAGCTTCTATTTTTTTTCTCTGTTTGGAGATTCACAGCAGTGTACACCCAGAGGACATAGTATAGGACTGTTAAATCGTAGAGTTTTCATCATCTTTCTAGATGACATCATCAACACTGACTTCAATATGAAAGTGAGCTGTCAGTATCTCTCCGTGAAGGATTCCCTAGCTTGCCCTGACCAACTGGTTTGTGTGTGATTGGTTATTCCCTTTAATTGTTGTGTCATTGACTGAATGGATAGATTTTCCTGTTGGCTGTTCCCCTTCTTGATATCCCACTTTTCTGCTGTTTATCATTTTTCTTATTGATTGATTCTGTGTCTATACATCTATAGATTGCTGACTGATTGACTGACCTGACCTGAATGCCAAGCTTCTAGGAATTTTCTGATATTCTTTGTGTTTCCTCTCTCCGTCCATGATTTCGACATCCTCATAGTTGAATACATATCTATAATTATCCACGTGTATTAAAATGAGTGATGAAATATCATGACGTTCAACAGTCAATTGGTGTTCATGTACACAAAGACGAAGACGGCGACCACTTTGTCCAATGTAGTGTTGGCTACAGTCATTGTAGTTGACTTTGCAGATGATATTTGGTTTGTCTTCTTTGCTTGTTGCATCCTTTGGTTTACAATAATAGGGTTTGGGGAGAATTTGTTGATTCATGAGCCAGCCACACCAATTCCAAGTGTTCTCAGTAATCTTGTCGTGATTACTCATATATGTCCTTTATGTCTTGTAGGATGATGAGTTTGTCGATTTCTGTCGATGACTTTGTGGTCGATGATGTACGGGATAGGCATCTTCTGATGGAGTTTCGCGGGTAGCCGTTCTTTCACATAGTCATAAAGTAATTTTCTTCATGGATAATTATAGATATGAATTCAATTTTGACAGTGTAGAAATCTTGGATGGAAAAAGGAAACACAAAGAATATCAGAAAATTCCTAGAAGCTTGGCATTCAGGTCAGGTCAGTCAATCAGTCAGCAATCTATAGATGTATAGACACAGAATCAATCAATAAGAAAAATGATAAACAGCAGAAAGGTGAGAGATCAAGCGGGGGAACAGCCAACAGGAAAATCTATCCATTCAGTCAATGACACAACAATTAAAGGGAATAACCAATCACACACAAACCAGTTGGTCAGGGCAAGCTAGGGAATCCTTCACGGAGAGATACTGACAGCTCACTTCATACTGAAGCCAACGCAGCTACCGTCTAGAAAGACGATGAAAGCTTCACGATTAAACAACTCAGCTCAGAGAATACAATACAACCAAGAGATAAAATTACTCTCTAATACTGTATGATTCTCGATGGTTTCATGGCTGATGCTAGTTTGTGATAAAAGCTGTCTATAGGAAATATTTGTTTCGTTGAGTCGCTCAAAGATTGTTCCAATGTATTGAGAATATGATGGAATGATCCTAAAAACGTCACAATACACACTTAAGAAATATAATTCCTACAAACGGTTTGTGATAGACAGAGAAGAATGTCTTCTTCAGTGATCTGGACAGCCGATTCTTCAGGATCTCTGCTAGAGGACGTCAGACAGCCACTTGGTGATAGAATGATATGCTGAATTGTTCATGCCCAAAATTGGGCGAAGGGAAAGATCTTTCTTGTGAACTTTCAAGAGATCAGCCAGTCAGAAAACAGTTAAACACGCATAGCTTATTGCATTCCTTCGAATTTGTCAACTCAATTAGTAATGTCAATATATTCGGTAAGCAAATTTCTCTGGACACGATCTCACTCTTCACCAATGTCCCACTCACAGAAACTATCTGTTTTCTATGTGATTTCATTGAAGATAATAATTTTTAAGTAAGTGTCCCAAGGAGCTATTTAAAGCAATTTCTTCTAAGATGTACTTTCAACGTGCAGTTCAAATTCAGTAATGTTCTATATAGACAAAAGGATGGGGTTGCTATGGAGTCGCTAGTTGAACCGTTGCTGCCTAATTGCTTTATGAAGAAGCTAGAGAGTAGTGTGCTGCATTCAACAATTGATAGTTTCTGCCTATATCAAAGATATATGGATGACACATTCATCATATGTGATCAAAATACAAATATTGGGACAGTAGTTAAAAAACCTCAATGACTGTCACTCATCGATCAACTTCACATCAGAATTTGAAGAGGACTCACAATTCCATTTTCTCGATGTTTTATTGAAACAGGAACCAGACGGCTATCTTCAGCGATCAATTTATAAGAAGCCTACATGGAACGGACAATATTTGAGTTTCCATAGCTGGGTACCTCTCAGCTAAAGAGGAATCTAATCCATTCTTTATCTTCAAGAATTAGAAGAATCTGCACGAGTGATGCTATCGATGAAGAATTGTACAAACTACGAAAGATCCTCATGCAAAATGGATATCCATCTAGACTTATTGATAAGAACTTGAAAGTAAATCAGAATACGGAGCGAGTACTCACAGTTCCTAAGAAGACCTTATTTATGAACTTTGTTTTCAAAGGTAATACAGCAGCAGAGATTCTAAAGAATCGGCTGTCCAGACCACTGAAGAAAACATTCTTCCCTGCAAAACTGCAGTTCAGCTTCTCAAGTCAACAACTCATTCCGGAGTGCGTTAAGGACAAGTTGCCACTTTGGGCCACACCGATGTGCGTCTACAAATTTACTTGCTCCTGTGGAGCTAGTTATATAGGCCGCACAAAGCGCACGCTTTCTAAACGTATCTCTGAGCACTATCCTACATGTTTGTCGAGGAGAGAATGTAAATCAATTAACAGTTCAATTCTTGAGCATTTGATCAACTCTGGACATAAAGCTAGACCACAATCCCCCTTCAGAGTCATTTATCGTGTCAGATGGAATAGTTCATAAGGAGTACGCCTTTGACAGTTGTGCACAGTGGAAGCACTGGCAATTCATCAATTCAAGCCTGATCTCTACATGCAAAAGAAGTATGTTCAATCACTTATCTTAACATAGTCTTAACACTTTCACATTTTTTTCGACTTCATTATAATTATTTAGTTTATTATTATCACTTTCATTATGACTCTTGTCTCATTCTTCACCTTCTTTACTTCTATCTACCTATCAAGTGGACACTCAATATTTGCGTTTCCTATCTACCAACAATTTTCACCTTGTCAAACTCCTTGCCTTCCTCGTTATTTCTACTGTCTTACATTATTACGCAACTACTTTGCATTCTTCATTCCGGTTTTTTAGCACTAGGTCAATGATGCAAATATACCCTATTGTTTTGTAATAGACTGTTATATGTCTATGATATGTATAAATACGATTGTACAGCTCAAGAAAATGATATCGTAGAAAAAGAGAATTTTCTTCGCTGAGTTCTCTTTTCTCTACGACTCAATGGGATAGTACTCGTCAAATATGGCACACCTTTCACTGAAACCGTCATCTGCAAAATGTGCTTCATTTCCTCTTCTGCTTCTTTCTTGATTTGCTCTTCATATGCGTACATTGTTTCTTACGGTTTTCTTAGCGGAATCCTTACCCATTGCTGGTAATTCCCTATGATTTCTGCCACCCTCTCAACATATACTACTTATATCCATTTTTATCAGCAACCCCTAGTAAAATACAACATACGACATCATACTGAACTATACAGGTGACGTTTTCAACTTATTGAGTCATAGTATTGACAGTAAGTGCTTAAAGAAAAGATATTCAGCTATTTTACAGTTTTGTTATCTGTTACTTTTGAGGTTTCATGAATGGTAACCACTTTGTACTCATTCAGACTGGTAAAAAGCATAAATGTCAGGTATTGAAAAGTTATCTGAGGGTGATGACTTTCAAAAATTTCTGTTCCCTTCAGTCACCTGAGCATTTTTTCTCTCCTGTAAAATCACCTATTTTATAGACTAGTTGTTTAACATGAATGAAGCGTTTCATTCAGTTTTTTTAGTATTTTATGAACGTTTTCATGTTGCTTTTAGTAAACATGAATTCTTGAAAGTATGGTGTCATTTGTGAAGTTGATTTGTAACTTGTATGTTTAAGAATTGCTTTGAAAGTTGATTGTATTGCACATTCAGTGGATGTGAGATTCCCTTTGTGAATTATAACAAAGCAATTCTTAAGTAGTATGTTTACCATTCAGATATATATATATATATATATATATATATATATATATATATATATATATATATATATAATCTCTCTAAACGTATAAATATATGCAACACTTGTCTTAAAGCGAAGAGGACAAATATTTATCTTTGAAATAAGTGCAGTAAACTTCATTGAGGTGTAACCTGACCAAGAGCTGGTATCTTGAAATGGTGATCAGGCTTGTATCGTAACGATCTAAAAACTTATGCTAGTGGGACACTTTCTCCCTCGAAGTCCTGTCACACTACAGTAGCAAAGGTCGATTTTAAGAAGAACACTGGTTACTACCCCGTGGCATATGGATACTTGCGGTAATAGTTTTCTCTATCTCACATTAAAATGAAAACCCAGAAAAGGCTGGATGCGACAGGTTTTAAGCGGATTTCCCATGGGCTCTGTGGTCAAACAAATCTTTTCCTCTTTCAGGCACCTTAAGAAGAAATAGTTTTCTCCGGTGTGGGCATCAGCAGAAATGTCAACAACCCGAACGCTTCTGGTAGTATACAAGATGCAATCAACTAAGGAGTGTCCTCTTATATATCCTTGATTTATTCGTACAGAAAGGAACATGTATGTAAATACTAAAGTACATCTGAAACAGAAACGAAACCTTTCCACAAAAACTATTTGATAATTTTAATAATCAGCCAGTGCGTTAGAATCAACACGTGACCTGACATTACTGCATATCTATCCAACTAGACACACCTTACTTTAGCATATTAAGATAAGATAAAAGATATAGAAGCAGAAACAAGGTAAAAAAACAAGCTTTTGTTACCAAAACAACAATACATGGTAAGAATAATACGAGTTTAGCATACGACGTACATCATTTGCTTCTTTATATATGATGGGCGGTTGGACTGGAGCCGATCTCTCGACATCTTCGTTTCCATTTGATAATTTTGATCTCTAAAAAAAGGGGAGGAGAAGAAGACAGGTAAACAGAAGATCAGTGCCAAGAACGTAAAAAATACACACATCAAATAAAAAAAATAACCGAGACACCATTTAGATCTATTGTAGCTAACTGATGCAACAACTGTGACGGCTTATGAGCGCTACACTATTACTTATGCGCACATCGAAAAAACCCAAAGCGTGAACAAACTAAAACACGAAGAAAATTTGCGTTTATTTGATCTCAGTAGTTTAACAGCAGTTACAAACTAATAGTTGAAGACTATAAAAGGCAGTAAAGGAAGCTTTCTCATTTCCTACAACACCAAAAAAATCTTTGTACCATTCAGTATTTCACATATCTTTTCTGAGATCCCTCTTGCTTACTAACAACAGTTTGTAAGCTATATCTGAGAGTAAATATTTCACAAAAAAGTTCAAATATTTCCTGTTAGCATGCCCACATGAGGTTAGCCTAGATAACACGGGAATTCTCAAACTTCCACTAAGCCTAACCATGGCTTATCCCCAGTAAGTAGCCATATATATATATATATATATATATATATATATATATATATATATATATATATATATATATATATATATAGTGTCTTACATATACTGCGTCTTATTGTGCCCATATTTATTATTCGTGAGTGTGAGTACTGCTTTTGGAGTTCAGAGAGAAATTAAATATGTCTACAAATTTTCCGATGGATTAATTAGAAATACTTCGAAAATTAGGTGGAAAAAGTGTGGAAGAAGGGAAGTGGTGCATTCTCCCGTTGCCACTTAATTTCAACTCTTAGCTTCCGCAATTATTTAATCTCTTCCCGCTCCATTTGTCCCTTGCTAACCAACTTATTTGTTAAATTCCAATACTTTGTATATATATATATATATATATATAGGCAAAATAAGAGGGAGGCTGACATGTGTTCTATGTGATTCCTGCAGTAAAACATAAGATCGTATCACTAAAGTACAGTCCCCAGAAACTTTCACAATAGCAAAGACTTCGTAAATAATGTGAAGCACGCAATAACCCCCAAAAACACTGTCAAGGAATCAAATCAGACTAACTCAAACGTACTTGAGAAACAAGACGCAATATCTTATCCATATCGTCTTGTAGCACCAAAACTTCCGCTTACTACTGGACACATAACCCAAGGTCTTTAGTTTCATTTTGAAACATAAGAACAAAACACAGAAAAATTTTAAGCTGCGCTACTTCCCATCGAAACTGTTACGAGAGATTTAACTGTGAAACACTAGCTCTATACTCACTGTCATCACCATATTTTAGAGTTTTAGCCTTTCAAGATTTTAATTCTATCCCATCTGTGACAGAAACGCAACTCTTGTGATCCTGGCTTTAGTAACCCCAAGAAAAATTACCTGACACTTCGACGATGGATTTTTTGCTGAATTTTCAGCAGCTTTATAAGCTTCACATACAGCTCGGAACTACCTTCTGTACCCATCCCAACCCCTCCCCCGACTTCTCTATAGAAGAACGAAATAAGCTAAAGACAAGTCCAGAGTCACTCGACCGAACCTGCTCGAGGACCTGGATATGCCGGGTGACCTGAACTTACATATGTCTTTGGCAAAGTTAATCACGATATACCACATAAGACACTCCAGTTTGTGTGGGCGCGCTAGAGGTTCAAAAGTTCGTCCAGGGGTTACCTTGCCAACTAGTTATAACCATTCAAAGTAGGCTCCTACTTATCCAAGTCGTTTCCTATATAGAGCAGTATATCCCAGCGTCCAGTTCTCATCCCACCGCTGTTCCCTGTCTCCACCGTTGACTTTTCAGCAGGCTTCAACTCTCTCACAGACGATCTCAAGATCTGTAGAGAAATGCAGAGGCCTATAGATAACTCCGTCTTATAAAGGGACCTTTCAGAAATCGAAAGCTAGGCAAGTGAAAACCCGCTATTTCTGAACACGAAGAAGCATAGGGTAATGAAGTTAGACAAATATAGGTGGAACGCCGGTTTCCACTCCTGGTGGAAAATCAGTTTAACTTACTCAACCACTGAAAAAGATCTTAGAGTTGCCGCAAGTGATATACTGGTGATTTGCTTCCATTGTAGCCTTGTGACCAATGAGGGATGTAGTGTCCTAGGGTTTCTCTCCTAAACTCTGTAAACCTTAACTCCGTGCCTTTGAACTAAAGTAAATATTCTACTCTCACATATGAGTTTAACATGAGAAACGCCGGTTTAGAGGCATCATCAAAGCTATAATGTCTGAAAAATCTGTAAGATTTCGACGGTCCTGAATATTACAGAATGGAGGACATCAAACCCCCTCGTAACATCAAACGAACCTACGAGTTACGAAACGAACATGAAAACATCACTTCTCAGTCCATCCACTGTGTTTATGAGTTTAAATCACCCTCAGCCTTCTTTCACTATATGCAACATCGAAGTCAAGCAATATTTCATGTTTACTTTGTAAGTAGCCGACATGCATGACCAGCCTGCTTGTTTCCGTGTGACGCCAGATAAACACCCATTTTGAGGTAAATCCTCATGTTTGTATCTTCAAAAAATCAAAAGGATCCACTCTAGGATTTCGGGAACCAGCGGGTACATACGCAAAGGTGTGATCCAGGTGAACAGCCCTACTGAACCATTTCCCACCCTTCAAGTGCCACTGTTCCCAACGACAAACAGTTATGCCATTAAAGACAGTTGTTGTGGCGAAAAGATACAAACGCTTGAAGAACTTTGTACCATTGGCGGCGTGTTTTACAAACTAGTCACGTTAAATTATTCAGCATTATCAAGTAGACATACTCGCTTTTAGACGAGGTATTGGAGAAATCTGCTGCGAATATGTTGCATTTGGAGTCACTGGGCAAGCTCACGCCTCGTATTTCGTTGTTTCTCCAGATTTTTGCTGCCAATCTAACTGCCAGAAACCTGAGCAATTTGAGGACAGACAAACATTCACACCGTGACTGGGGTTCATTGCATGGTCAGCTTCTTGACAGCTTGGTCACATTATTTTGAACAACACTGTAGTGTTGCGAACCCTTAGTTAATAATAATAATAATTGTTCCTGAATATATGGGCACACACCATTTTCACAGGTACGAATAAGTTTATATACAAATTACATTCATCTTCATGGAAGGTAATCTGAATTCCCACCAACTGTCACTAGAAGATATAAGTGCTGCATGTTCATATAATGGAACATCCCAGCAGAATAAGTGTGCAGAAAATTTACAAGTTGGATAAGTGGAAGTATTGTCTTCGCATTAACAAAAAGACCAGGTTTGTATCTAGACACTACAGGTATTATCTGGAAAAAACAAAGCTTGAAGGTAATGCTTCAATCGTAACAGTTTGTACTTCTTGCTTGAGATAATGGTGAAAAATTTATGAAGGAATGTATGCATGAATTGTTTACATATTGCACTTAATTGATGATTCCAGGACTGTATAATTCATCCATGTTAACACCATTCCACAAAGAAGATTCATAATCTGGATGAATATTATGACTTAAAGCCAAATGTCTTCACCTCTCCAACTCCAGCATCCAGAAGCAATAGACTTGTTTGAATGCGCCGGATGGACTTTCAGAACGTCTTGTCCGCCGTTTTCACGGGTCGTGACAGCCTTGCAGCCGGTAAGTGCTGGACCTTGCTGGTCACTTTTATAATGAGTCAGCCCTAGATTTTGATAATTATGAAGTTGTATTCCAGTGAACACTTTTTATTTCTGCTTGTTGTAGTTAGGTGTTCTGAACTTGGTGAAGCTGGTTACCTTCTATGAAGGGTAGTTTCAGCCATGGTCTGTTCCTCAAGTAATTAATTCACCAACGTTTAGAACTGAATTGTTTTCCTACAACGGGAAAAAACGGACAAAGCAGCGGGCGGAGAAAGCAAAAATTTCAACAAGAAGAGTGTCTTCTATGTTCATGTTCCTCCCTACTTAACTTCCCTTGCTATGGCTTCCATTGTATATGCCTTTTCTATAGATTATTTGAAAAATTTGAATTTCACGCTGTCATGTGGTGTAGGATTTCTGTCCTTGATTACCGTGTTGGGTGTGGCAGAATATGACGTTAGTTTGAGGTGGTAACTTATGGAAGTCTCATAAAGCGGACGTTTACCTCTTGCACAAATCACCACGCCATATACAGTTTTCTGTAGTGTGTGATTGTTAAGACATTACTGCTAGGAATTTCTGGGCAAAGACGACTTCAACACACAGTGGGACTGAAAAACAATGCAGAGACCGTCACTCAGAATCCAGAAGTGTATAATTCATGTTCGTGTAGTGCCCAATAAACTTGGCTATGATTTCTATCTGTTGTAAAATTTACATTCACTATTGGCTGCAATCGAATGATGAATTACTTTCGATGAACAGAAAACATTTTGGCCGCTGAACCTGCCAGCTAGGGTGCTTGGAACAGACATGTTATACTTCTATCACTGCCTTTTCGTTGGCTACGTGGTTGTTTAAAACGAATTGTTCAGAGCGTTAAACATAACCCTCTAGGTCCAACATATTTAGATAAATAAATAAATATTTTATTCCCACATTAGTAATTTAACATGAGAGAAGCCAGTTTACAGGTATCATCATATTGATATACGCTGAAAAATCTACAAGACTTACAGGCCCTGGATGGTACGAGGGTACGTTATAGGCATCCATTGAAAGGTTCTTAAGTCCTGATAGTTATGAAGGGGACTAGAAAATATCACTTTTCGGCGTGCATAGAATGTTAAAGTTTAGATAATAGTAATTCTTATCCCCGCATAATGGAGTTGACACGAGAGATACCAATTTACAAGCGTCATCAAAAACCCATACCGATCCATGACAAAAAGAAGGTCGAAAAGCCAAGGGCCATGTGTCACAAAGGGTCCGAACGGAGAAAACCTCTCTCGACAGGAGATTGCCGAAATGTTGAGGACGGCATCTGACACACATCTCAACATTCCATAGGGAAAGTACGCATACCAAAGGCCAGAAAGGCCCCCAACGTTACCCGATGCTGCGGAGCCACATGAAATGCAGAGGACTCGCGCCGTTTCTTTCGACAAGCTACCAAAGCTAAGCGCGGGAAAATCCCCATGGCGCGACAACATCCGCCCATCTGCGTTGAAAGAATGTGCAGGTGCCCTAGGTGGCCCACTCTGCAATCTCTTCCAACACTCCTTGGATGAACAAAAGCTCCTACTAGATTGGAAACGGGCTATCCTTTCTGCCATCTTCAAAGGAGGAGACAGGCGGAATCCCAACTGTTATGGACCCATGACACTCCTACCAGCAGTATCAAACGTTACGGAGAGTGTGATGGACGACCGTGTCGGGGACTATCTGGACAAGAAACAAGCACTCAGTGACGCTCAACATGGCTTCCGGAAGGGTAGGTCCTGTGCCTCCAACCTTCTGACGGCCCATGATCACTGGACAGCATGCTGGGATCTCAAGGTCCCGGTCCTCGCAGTTTTTCTGGACTTCGTCAAAGCCTCTGACACTGTCTCACACGATCTCAACTCATAAGATACCTGGGTTAGGTATACCCAGCCACTTATTATCGTGGCCGCAGAACTAATTAGACGACAGGGAGTTCCGCACGACAGTTAACAGGGTCTACTCAACTCGGAGAACATCCCCACCCAGTGTCCCACAAGGAGCAATCCTGCGTCCACTATTGTTCCTACTGCTCGTGAATGACCTTCCGCTACATACCGGCTCTCCGATTTTCCTATAAGCTGATGACGGCAAGTTATTGAGGGCAATAACTTGCAAAGCGGAGTCGAGTGCATTACAGAACGACCTCAAAACACTAGAGAAACTAATAATGAACTGGCACTTAACCTGGATAAGTGCAGGTCTATGTTTTTCCACACTCCTGATCCCCAGAAAGTATCCTACCGTCTCTGGTTCACGTCCATCCTATGCCACAGTAGAAAAGACCTGGGCTTAATGCTGACGGAGAAACCGAACACCAGTTTCAGTTACCCAGGCGATGCCTCAGAAGCATATGGTGTACCGCACTTTATGCGTAGACAACTAGGTGCCCCCACACAAGGACTCTTTCTGAAGCTCTACGAGACTTGCATACGGCCCCACCTGGACGTCCATAACGTCTTCGCCCCACCACAACTGAGAAGTGGCACTAACCTACTG